CACCAAACCAAGCTTCTGCCACCCTGGCGTCCTCTTCCACTACATCTTCGTCCCCGCTTTCCTCCTCTAAATAAAAAATGTATGATGGAGGAGACTCATCCATGACCTCCGACACAAAACTCTCCTCCTCTTGCATGTTTCCTCTGTCCATAGCCTTCCTTGCTAGTGTCGTTTCTAAGTCACCAATTTAGTGCTACTTGGTCCCAATGGAATTTCCCATTGGGAACCTAGTAGCACTAAGTCGCTAGCTGGTTAGCAAGATGCTTCGGAGAAAACGGCCAGAACCAAATGTGCTTGCGAACCTTCCGCCACAACAATCCCGCCCCCTTGATAAACGTCCAATCACATTCACTATATTCACTCGTGTAAAGTCGTGCACCACTCGGGAGAATTCTGAAATGCAACGGTTGGAAAAGCCGCTTTCGTGCGACTTTAAAGCCTGCGATAATTATTTTGGCTTTATTTTAAGGCGAAATCTCATCAGAAATCCTTTACTGCCCACCTTCTGTTTGTAACCTGACATTAACAGTTTAGGATTTTTAAAACTAATGTAACTGTGAGCTGATTCCTTCGCAAAGTGGAGGCGTTGCTTCAGCTTAAATAAATAAAGTTAAACATCTACCCATATATTGGTTTAAACTGCGTGTTTTATAACTGTATACAGAGCGTCTTCCTCCTTTAAGCTAATTCAGGTGAATTGGAAGAACTTCTTTTTGCTCTGGGATGTTTATTTGAAAGAATTTTACCAAGTTGGTTTTCAAAAGTAGATATTATGGATAATCTTAGTTACGTTACCATCAGTAGTGAGCAGAGGTACAGAGGTTCACTTCTGCTCACAGTTCACCGCATAAAGATGTTAAAATAATTCCCACGTCACAACCCAGTTGTTAGTTTTCCATCTGGGCTTTGCCGAGTTTATTTACATCTTTCCTTCCACACCTGTTCTTTGCTCACATCAGCTGTGTTTTCATGGGGAAAATAAAGCGCATCTCCAGAGCTGTTCTCATTTAGAGGCATCTCTGTTTGATCAGAGAGCAAAAAGAGAGATTTTATTAGATTTACCCATTTATACAGCTATAAAACATCTTTACTTACGTCACTTGAGAATTAAGTTAGAAACCGTAGCTGCAGCTAAACTAGCAACCCTTAAACCTTAGCTCTGTCTCTACCTTCAGCATTTTAATACAAAAAGCAGGAAAAGGATGTAGATGGGTTTTTTGCACAAGGCGTGAAATGATCTTAAATTTAGAGGGCTGAAGCATTGCAGGTCCCCCCAGAAACACTCACCATTCACTAAGCGCTTCCCTTTGTGGGTAAAGGAGGTTACACCTCTCTGCATAACGAGGCTAAAAGCTTTAGTTCAGGTTTCCGACGCTGATTGAGCATTATGCACTAATTTCACTGCTTAATTATCTGTAGGAGTTAAAAGTTCGATAGAATGGGCTAACCAGACATCAGATGCTCTATTCCACTGCGTCTCCTGCCCACATTTGCCAAGTAAATGTAAATCTGTTGATATTGCTTCCTCGGTTTTGTCTGAAGGTAATAAAATCTGCCTACAAGCAGCTGTTTAGTTCTTTATTGGTTTTTGGCTCTCGTCTTAACAAATCGAATAACATTTTTTTCCTGTTTTACAAAATGATGTCAGAAATACTGTTTCTGGGCCTGCAGCCAGCTGCTGGTTAGCTTAGCGCACAAAGGTTTGACAGAAGAAAAAACGGCCTCCGTGACTCCATGTGCAGCTTCCCTAAAAACTGCCGACTTTTAGTTTCCTTCAGAGGCAAATGATTGGGTTGAAATGTTTCATTTGAACTTTTTAAAAGGGACCACAGCAGACGGAAACTTGCAGACACCTTAGCAGGATGTGAAGTGGATTAGAAACTGTTGCGTTGAGCAAAAGGATTGCTGATTTCCTTTCTTTTTGTTTGTTTTTGTTCTGCTGATGCATGTCAGAGTGCTGGTGTGTTTTATTATCTCTATACAGTATAGAGCTGCGTGTGCATGATGTTTGCTGATCTTAGCAGCTCCTGATTGTCCTCCTGGTCTCTGCTCTGCAGTTTCTGGCTGACGAGGACAAACCTGTCACTAACCCCTGTCTTCTTCTCTTTCTTCCACTTTCCTCTCCTGTTGATCCTCTGTTTCTTTTTCCTGACTCCCTTCTTCCTCCCTGACCTCGCTGTCATCCCATCTAATCTCTCCTTCCTGATGTTTTTGCACCGTCATCCACTCGTCCTTCCTTCCCGTGTTCCCCCTCGTTCTGCTTTCACGGCGACTCTTGTTCCATCGTCCTGTTTTCGCCACATCTGTCCATCGCCATTGCAACCCGTTCTTTTCTTCGTCTTCTCATAACTCATCTTTATTTTTCCCCCTGGTTTCTGTTTGCCGTCCTCGCCACCTTTTCGGTTAATGTTTCTCTCTTTGTTTCACTTTTCCACCTCCTTCTCCACCTCCTTCTCCCGCTCAAACATCTCATCTTTCTATTTTTACTTCTCTTACACTTCTCCTGGTTCTGACCTCTTCCCCTCCTCCTCTCTGTCCCTCTCCGTCCCTTGTCCCTCTTCCCCGTTGCGTCCCGATGCAGAATGGAATGTTCTATACTAGTTATGTAAGTACTTATCTCTGTTTAGTATGACAAGTCCCAACAAGCCTCTCAGAAATGTCTGCTTATCCTCCACTTCATCTTTCCCCCTCCTCGCCTCCTGTTGCTCCTCTGTCCCTGGAGACACTTGTTGAAGAGTTTGACTCTGCTTTTTCTACAAATAACTCTCTCATATCTGAGCCGTAGAAGCTGACAGCGTGCGCTATAATTGTGAAAGCTCTAACTAATCTAAAGCTCTTGTTTTAGTCTGTGTCTATTTAATCAGACGTTAACATTTTGCTTTGGCTTTCATTTAATTCCAGATTTCTAAGAACAGCTTTAAAGCATTTTAGAAAACCTGGAGAAATGCAGAAATTTCTCATGTTAAAACCACAAACTTCAATGTATTTAAGTGGGATAATTTTTTTTTAAATATACAGTTTAAGGGTATATTGTTAGCCTCGAGTCGCTATAGCTCTGGTTGTATGATGATGGTTGATGATCCTGCTTGAAGGAGAACTTCTGCCGCTCTCTGAGGTCTGTAGAGAAAGATCCATCTCAGGAAAAACCAGACTTTCCTGGTAGGTCAACCAGGACTGCTGTGTTTTATTGAGGCAGAGCATAACTAGCTATCAGCCCTTATTGCTTCTAGTCCGTTTGGAAATGTATCCTATGTAATTCTGTCAGCTCATCGCTTTGGCTGTTTGATTTCAGGGTTTCTACGCGGTGGTAAAAGGTGGTAAATTGAATGAACCCAAATTAAGGCAATTTAAACGTAGTAAAAGGTATCAAACAGAATTTTACTTGATATTCATTATTTTTGTCGCTCTTTTAATATAATCTGATTTTTTTGTTTTTGTTTGTTTGATTTTTTTAAATAAATTTTTTTTTTTTTTTGCAATAATGTCTGAAAGAATGTAAGGGAATTATATGAGATTCACAGTATTTACATTGTGCCTGCTTTTAACTAAACAGGCCAAATAAAGACGGATTGAAGAGAAAAAAAAAGACCTGAACTGGGAGCAATCTGACATGCAGTGCTACTGCTAACAGATGTGGTTAAAAAACGGCAAATGACTTCCATAAAAACTTGTTATAGGTTGTAGAAGCATTTTAGAAGACATCCCAGGTAGCAGAGGAGCAATTAAACCGGCTGATTAGACACTTACATCAGACATTCAGGACAGAAAGTTGCAGCAGTCTCAGCTGGCAACACATCTCGCATTTTAAGTTGCAGGCGTCTCACTCATTTAACCAGCGCTTAGCTGTGCAGGAGGCTAAGTGGGCAGGAAATCTGACTGCAGAGAAGAAAAGGAAGCTCACCTCCAACTGCCCAAAATACAGCAGAAAGGATGCAGTGGAAAAAAATGAGGCAGGTGAAAGACAAATGATTCGGCAGGCAGGGGGAATGAATGAGCGTTAGAAGGCCGACGCCAACAGATAAAGGTGGAGGGGAGGCGCAGTGAAGGCCAACAGCTGTGTGCGAAGACAGATGGACGCCAAGAAGGAGGGAGAACCTGGAGCTCTGCATAAAAGGCTTCTCATTTTTTCTCTCTCTCCGTCATGCTGTCATGTTTAGAAAAGAAAAGCAGCGATTGATGACAAAGAGCTGTGAAACTGAAAGACAGACGGTCTGTGAATTAATGAGATTAAACTGCAGGTGACTGTAAAGTCGACTATAAATACCGTAAACTCTTAACCATTGGTGTTACTGAGGAGGCGATAAATATCTTTGATCAAAGAGCCTGAATTGGGTCTTTTTTTTTCTTCTTACAGCTGAGACGGATTGATCAGTGTTTTTGATCAACAACTGGCTCTCCAGGGTCAAAGCTACAAGCGTATACAGATCAATTAGATCGATTGCTTCCTGAGATCTGTTCACAGCTTCACCTTTCCTGGCCTAAAAACTCTATTTTTTTCTCTAGATCTCTAAGAAGAGAATCACTGCATCTGCTTATCCCTCCTTTTAAAAATTCCTTTAAAGCTCTGATAGATTGGTTTAAAACCCTGCCATAGTAGCAGTGATGCATTTCATCATTCTGGTTACCCAGCATTTTTACCTACCCTTACCACCTGTTTTATCTACCATTAAAACAGGTAGCCTTCATTTAAAAAAACAATCTTAACATTAGTAAACTTTTCAAGGAAAATCTGTATTTGTTCTTAATGTCAGGTGGCGGGGAGGGGTTCATTATCTTATGCAGGCCAGTTAGTTATACGTCAGCCTGTGCACCTAAATTCGGCCAATCATATATCAACGGTCATCTGTCGATCTAATTTTTTGGTTATAGCATCTTGATTCATATGTCGCAGCTAATATACGCAATGGTTGAAAGAAGAAATACGAATATTTTACTTTATGTCCCAGTTCTAACAGGGATGGATGTCTGTGTCTTCAGCAGGCGTAGAGCTAACAGCTGGCAGCGTTGCAAGGCAAGGGCTCAAACATGTACGGCTGGAAGCCTTCTACACCAAACCAAGCTTCTGCTGCCCTGGCGTCTTCTTCCACAACAACTTCGTCCCCACTTTCCTCCTTTAAATAAAAAATGTATGAAGGAGGAGACTCATCCACGACCTCCGACACAAAATTCTCCTCCTCTTGCAAGTTTCTGCTGTCCATAGTGTTCCTTGTTATTTCTAAGTCACCAATTTAGTGCTACTTGGTCCCAATGGAATTTCCCATTGGGAACCTGCTAGCATTAAGTTAGCAAGATACTGGTTAGCAAGATGCTTCCGACAAACCGACCACAACCAAACGTGTTTGTGAACCTTCCGCCACAACAATCCCGCCCCCTTGATAATCCACCAATCACATTCACTTTATTCACTCGTGTAAAGTCGTGCACCACTCAGGAGAATTCTGAAGTGCAACGGTTTGAACAGCCGCTTCCCTACGACTTTAAAGAGATATTCAGATAATATGCACTTGAAATAAAAGACTAGAGTTGTTCTTTCTTATTTTAAATGTAAACTATCTAATTCCATTGGTGATATGTGTCACTTCTCTGCTCAGTTCAAGAAAAAAAAACACTTATAAAAAAAAGAAATGTAAATTAGTAAATTTTTCTTAAGATGTCTGCATTTTATTTCTTGTATTGAGTAGGTAAGTGAGACACATATCAATGGGATAAGTTAGTTTACATTTAAAATAAGAAAAAAAAAAACAGTTGCATTATCGAATTAAAGTGCATAATATCTGATTATCTCATTTTAAGCCTGAACTTAGTCATTCTATTGGCAGATCATCTTATTTTCCCAATAAAATTAAGGGTGAATGCAGCTATTTTAAGAATTTCTTAATCATTTTTAAATAGTTTTTGTAGTGTGCACACCGTAATGGAAAATTAGCTTAAAGGTATAGTGGAGGATTTTGCAAATTTTTGAGAAGACCCTCAAAAAAAAAATGCACATGCACTGTACCCGCTCCGGAGAGGGAACACCTATGAAACGCGTGCCAGAGCATATGCACAAGCCCATTTCTCCTCGTGCACACTCTGTTCAAAAGTTGCTGTTTGCATCGCTCATACTAGCTTACTTTCTAAAGGAAGATTTTCAAATTTTCCACCATGTCAGATCACCACAAGTGAAAATTGGGAAGAACACATAGGATAGCTTTAGGATAGGTAAACATACAATTAGGAGAACCACTTATTTAGATGATCCACCCAGAAAAAGAACATCCTCCAGCATACCTTTAACTCTGGACCAACTAGAGAGTCCGTGTTAAAGGTCCATCTCTCTATATCCTCCAGTCATCTTAGAAAGCAAGTCCCAATTACATAAATGTCTGACAGCAGCGCTGATTCTTTGTTTTTTTAAAATGATAATTGGAAAAATAATAAGAGAAATCCGTTCATATGTATCCCATGTTTAGAGTCTGCTTAAAAATCCCTTCTCAGATGACTTCTTGGGGACCCTCTACATTATGACTAAGATTTCCTAACTTTAGTAAATTGCACTTGGTTTAAAACATTGATTAAGGAACTGATGCAAAAACGGCAATTAAAGGATAATGCTTGTGCAGTTTTATTTTTCCCCCCATAAAACCCTAAGCGTACTGTAGCAGTACTGTAATTACTGTAATCCATCATTTTCTGTCGTAAAATAAAGCAAAACAAGACTTTCCACCGTAGCTAATTACATGCTTTAATGGAAATATCGCAGTTTTCATTTCTAGACTCCGGGTATAGCTAGAAAAATCAAGATCAGCTGGAGGTGTCCCGCTGTGTCATCGTGGGATCTTCCCAAGCAAATGACTCTGTCTTTATGGGTCTTTGAGGAAAGATTCTTTATTTCTATAATATTAATAAGAGATTTTTCAGCAGTGATTTGGGATCTTTGCTTTAATGCACCTTCACCTGTTCTAACACAGCTGCAGAAAGCAGCTACCTTCAGTCAGAAATCAGCAGCTTGGATGCAGAAAGGTGTTCCTTCCAGTCAATAGGTGTCTATATGTGGAATAGGGAGCCGGTCAGGTGCAGAGGGTTTGATTTGCCCTCTGCATGGAGGAAAGCCCGGCTCTCTGCCTCTTCTTTTGAAGTGCTGGGAATGATTGCTCACAGCGGGGAACCACTAAGCACTTTAGCTTCTTGCTGTGCTGCTAAATGTACACACTCTTGAGCTTTAAATGATTTGTCCTTTTCCCCAAACAGTACACCTGAAATCACTCCAGTGGAAAGTTTATTTTTTTATTGCATGTGTGTTGCATAAATAATTTTAAATTTAGATGAGGTGAAGCTGGTTGGTTATTTTGTCCTGAGATCATCTGTTTTTGTTCCAGGCCCCAGCGCCGATGGCTTTCCCCATGACCACACCACAAGTGCCTGTCTATGGAATGGTGAGTATGACCCGATGAAGCGCCGTTCAGATCCCTGAGCTCATATGTAGCTGACCTGCATGATCAGTAGGCTATGTTAGGGCAGATTTGGACAAAGCACTGATGCACCGTGATGAGGATGCCTCTTTTAACGTCATGTTTTACTATGAACTGTTTTATTGTGGCTTTTTATTCAGCTCTTCCAAGTCAGTAATTTGTAGACCTGGTTTTTCCTGGACTTTGAGCCATTTTAACTTGCTCTGGTCTAAAGCCGGGCTTACACTGAGAGATTTTTTGCCCTTCTCAGGCCGACTTCCCAGTCGTGCAAGAACTTTCCGATCGGGCTGACTTTCAGCCTGATAGTGCGTCGTGTAGTGAACAGGGGGTAACAAGGGGCGATCAGCCTCTCACGACCGCCACCGACCTCCTTCCGATCAGGAATCGTGAGGTCGGGAGAAAATCAAACGTTTGTTTTTTAGTCAGCCATCGTGGGCAAACAAGAATTCTTCTTCTTCATCTTAGATGTAAACACAGAAGCATGGCAGGGGGGGCGAGTGAAATGAAGTTCTTTCTGTAAAATTGACAGACCGTAGTAGCCACATATGCTCAGCCATGTCTTTGCCCAAATATGTTGTCGCCTATTCCTTTAAGGGCTTTTAGCACAAAATTGCACAAATTGCCAAGGCAGCTCGTTTCACTCTAGTGAGCTTCATATTCCTCTTCTACTCATTTGGCTTCTTGGATAGACGGGTCTGAGTAGCTCCATCTCACTGCGGAGCTGAGTCCCACGTGGTTTTTGGACGTACAATGTGAGCAGGTAGATCGCATCAGAGCGTCGTGCCGCACAGTGTGAGAACATACATGATGAGCTGTGAACACACACTGTACGACGAAACCCTGCGGTTTGTCTTTAAACTTGGAAACCAGAGTCCACCAGTCCAGTGGATTGTTTTTTAAACTTTTTTGTCATAACCGTGACCTGGATGACTGAGAATCTTCACCAGCAAAAACGTCAAATGTTTCATTAGGATGAAGCTTGGGTTTTCTTCCATAGGATATTATTTGGTATAAAAAGACAAAAGCCATCATTTCCAAGCTAATGGCTAGAAAAGTAGATCTAAAAACATATTTATGGTTCTTTTTAGTTTTATGTTGCACAAATAAATTCAAATATTCTTAAAATAAAACAAAAAACTCCAATGTATTTGTTATTGTACTGCATTAGTTGCTTCCTTATATCATTGTTTTCTATTAAGAGCCATTGTAGAGGAAACAAGCAGCTCAGACCCTGATCTAAGTCCTTCCCCTGCAGCTCTGTGTTTGGTTTCCTCTTGCTTGAAGGGAAACCTCCACGCCAGCCTCTAACCTCTGTCCACAGCTTGATGCTTCCACCACCATGTTTCAGCTTTCCTTGTTTCCGTAACCCTCTACTTTCTCTTGGTTTGTGTTTGCCGTGGCTCTTCAGGTCCCGCCCCAGATGGCTCAGATGGGAGGGGTACCTGTGATGGCTCCACAGCCAATGATGTACAACCAGCCTGTTCTCAGACCCACCAACCCTTTCGCACCCATGCCAGGAGCCCAGGTAGCTGACCTCGCAGTCGCACAGTAGTTCACCAGAGCATGTGAGCGGAATATGGTGGAGCTCAGAGCGGTTTGCAATTTAGAGGCCGGAGCGAGGATTGGCATAATTACATGAAAGAAAAAATGCCTTTCCTGAAAATTTGAGCGAGCGTGGAGCGATTTCGCCAGAGCAGCAGGTGAGCGCTGAGTGGATTTTGAGCGGAGCTTCCTGGCGCAACTTTGAGCGGCAGAGCGAAAAGCATCCTGAGCGGGAATTGCGCAGCGCCCTGCTCCGTTCACATGCTCTGGTTCACACACACACACATATGCTCCCTATTAGCCTATTTCTCTCAATAATAACTTGATACCTTAAGAGATAAAGGGAAAAACTTCCTCTCTTTGTTAAGTTGTAAGTAGCAGACTGTACATGTATGAGATGTAAGGAATGGGAGGCGGGGCTAGATCTGTGTTTCCTTCTTCATGGTGTGGAATGATGAGCGCGGGAGCGCATGTTGGAAACTGTTAATGGCGACCATTAAAGTGTGGATATTAACGTCAACAGTGTGATTATTGAGCCAACACTCTTTTGCATACAAGGCAGTTAAAATGCTCAGAATGTCTTTATAATTTCAGGTTTCTTCCCCCTCTCTTATCTAGATGCAGTTTATGTAATCCATTCAGGAGGAAGCTGAGTGCCAAAAGTGACAAACAGAGGAAAAATGTCACGGGAGGACGGCCGAGCGGAGGGAGGGATGAAAGGATGGAGACACGATCCAGATAACCGACAGACACCAAAACGGAGGACAAGATGTAGACGGGGGAGGGTGGGGGGGCTGTGTCTGTGTGAAACAACTGCTTGCATGCGTGAGAGTGGAGCTTCTCTGCGTTTATGGTGTCACGTCTGACGCGAAGAGTGCAGATGGATGAGCAGAGAAGAGGGGATGGAGGTGATCCTACCGCACCCAGCCTGCTCAGTTCAGCTCACTGTCGATGCTTTGAGAGCTGCAGATTTAGCTTTATTTCATTCTGGTGCTACTTTGTCCTCTTCAAGTTCCTGTCTGCCTGCAACAGCAACTTGGGAGCACTTATAAGAGAAAGTGTGTGTGCGTGTGTGTGTGTGTGTGTGTGCAGCAGTTGTTTCAGGTCTCCCAGCTCCTCTCAGCCCACCCCCCCCTCACTCTCCATTTGTTTTTACTGAGAGATGCAGAGGCACATTTTCTCAAGTTTGTTTCCTGTAATTTTCAATCTGTATTTTTTTTTCTTTCGTTTATCTTCGACAGCCTCTCTTTAATGCTACCAGGGCTTGTACAGCAGTTTGTTGAAGCGCTAAACGGTAACCGAGCATTTATCATCATGGCTTTTGTTAGCTCTGCACACGGAGACGGGGTGTGGTGACGCATGGGAACAAAAAAGATAAAAGGAACTCAAGGGCTCGTCCCACTGGGGGTAAAGGCATGGAAATGTATCAGGTTTTGCTGAAATGGTTGACTGTATCCGCATCATGAAAACTGCCGGTCAATGTGCTTTCAAAGGGTTTAAGGGATTGAGGGTTCTTTGCATAAAATGTCACACGAGAAAAGTGTCTTGAAATTGATCAAAATTTACCCACAATTGTTAATGAAGCTGTGTACATAAGCAAAACCTGTGTTTTTTCTTTTTTCCTTATATGGGCTGTTAACCCATCTTTGCAAAGTCAGCATTTTAATATTGTGTGTGTCTCTTTAAGAGGCTGTAAGCGATCATCAGGATTGGTCACCTGTCCTAAAATGAACCCTTTTCTTAAAGCGATACACACAGTCATCTATTTAAACAGTGAAGGGATGGTTCTGGATGTTTTGATCGGAGGTTCTGTTAAAAACACGTCTTCTTTTAGTAAAAGTCTAGATTAGTTGGATTTGGAAGCTTATTAAGCGTCCAAAACAAAACGTTATATTTAAAAGAATCTCCAAACCTAGTTTTTTTTTTCTTTGAATTTTTGCACATCAGAAATAGAGTTTTTTGAAGTGTATCATTAACAACCTTCCTGTGTGAAACTTTGCAGTGATCAAAGTGCTAGTTTATTGATTTCTCCTAACCTCCCCCATATTTTTTGGTTTACTTCAATATCAGTTCCTGTGATGGGAAAAGCTCTAAAGGTTTATCCTCATTACAAGCTATAAAATTCCTGCCTACATAGTTGGACAATTGTTAATAGAGTCTATAAAGTCAAATAAACTGATGATGATGCTGCCACCACCATGCTTCACAGTAGGGATGGTGTGTTCAGGGTCCTGTTTATGTAGTTTCGTTTTTATTTATCTTTTTAACATCCTTTTAAAATTAAACAGGCACCCCTTGGTTTTGGCCCCTCTTGAATTTCCACTAACTTCAGCCTCTAAAATCATCTAATCTGGATCTGTACTAATGGAAAATGCTAAACGTTCTCTACTGCAGGTAAGATATGAAGCTGTTTGTAACTTTTTAACAGAACCACGCTTTAAAAGGCCTGAACCTTCCCTTAGAAACAGCTGCTTTTTCTGTAAGTTCAGTATTCCGCATATTTTGCCCGACTAAATTGTTGCTGATTTAACTGTTGCCATGCAAGGCTTTAGAGGCAGGCCATGAATGGGGGTGAAAGGGTATTCTTCTCTCTAGAAGGACCAAAAAAAAAACCCAACGCCCCGTCAGAGATCCACGCGAGGTGATTGATGATGGCGGTTACAGAGTCGAGTTGATTGAGTCACTGTAAATTGCACTGAATCAAAGCGAATGGCAGGAGATGCGCCGCTCCGCTGTAACGGACCCGTTACCGTCTGACCCCATGATGCTCATGATTTTTTTTGTTTGTTTGTTTTCCTGCATTTCTGCTTCCATTGAGGGCTACATCTGAGGGTCACGTTTTAAATCAAGTTTGATACAAAAAAGTTTTTATCTTTTCAAAAATCAAGAATTGCAAAAATGCACATGCAAAAAAAGTTGCACTGAAGTGGCGAAGTCACCGTAGTCGAGCATCGAAGTCTTATTAAAGATAGAGATTCGGAGTACCTGGGGTTCAAAGAACTCTCGACTACAGGCCATTTTGATGAGTACTTTTAATTTTTTTTTTCTCCTGCCACTCTAAAGTTGAACTTGAAGCTTTGTGTCCCCCCCCCCTCAGCATAGAACGCCTCCAAACTCATCGCCCACTCTGCTGTGAATCTTCTAGTGTCGCCTCAGTTTTTCCAGTAGCTGATCCAGCCTATTTTGGCCTCTTTAGTCTGTAGTTAGTCTGTGTAGATATGTAAAGTGCTTACAGTGTCCGTGTAGATCGTCCCTCCTGTGGGTTAGAAGCAGCTTCTCGTCGGTCTTGTGTTAGCTTAGCCTATCTTCTAATGATCCCGCTGTAGGTTCCCTCACCACTTCCTGTCCTCTCCTCTCCGCTGATGTCTAAAAATGGTAGCTCTATTACCCCTGTCAGTGTTTCCGTACTTTAGCTGTAAATAAAACCTTTCTCTCAGGCTCTTGTTAGTTTTTTCTTAATCTCTTCTTTTCTTGCTTCTCTCATCGATCTCATCTTCCATCCATCCATGCCTCCTTTCGTCCCTGATTGGACCAGCAAAGCACACGTACGGATTTCAGGTTTTTGTGACAAATCAATAAGGTGGATGATTGTCTGGAAGTTAGCCTTGGCTAAAGGTCAGCTAAGGCACTTTCCCTCTGTTTTTTGGGTAAAAGTGAAGATGAAGACCTATAGAACCCTGAATATTACAGCCTGGGGGAGATACAGATCTACAATGTTGCCTTAATGGAAATTTAAAGTAATAAAAGGCTTTATAAAAATCTTTAAACCACGGTTATTGCCTCTTGTTGACGTTTTTAAAACTCGATTATAAAAGTAATCATAAAGTAGCATGTTTTGAGCATTGAATAAAATGTGGTTATTGTTGATCATGTAACACTTGACATGCGCCCACACAAAATCCCAATCAGGTAATTTAAAGAATTTGACCATGAAAACGCTTAAAGTGCAGTACAGTAGTATTTCATCGAAAGGTCGTCCCTTAGTTAACACTTTTATAAAGAATGTCCTGCTCCTGATGATGTGTTTCCACCAAGGATAGTTTGCTGAAGCCTTTTGTTAACTTAAGCTTCTTTTATCCTTTTTTGATATGACATCTTGATAATCAAGTAAAATATTTAATCAACGATTTACCTTCATGAACTCCAGTGTGTTGAATGTCTACAAAGTTTTGGGCTACACCATCATAGTGAGCTCATCACTACGTGACCAAGACAAAGTGAACATTTAGAAGGTGTGAAAAAAAAAACAAATAAGTATTTCCGTCCATTAATAACAACTGTCTTACTGGTTATCTCTCTTAGAGCCGTCGACATGAAATCATACGCAGTAAAGAAAGACCCGGTTTCCGAACTTTATTTTGGTCACGGACATGGAAAAAGGCCTTTATCAAGATCTGCATCCGATATCTGTCTCACATTAGCCCCGTATTCCCTAACCACCAAATAGCGCAAGTTGTGATCAAGACAAAAAAATCCGCTCAATGGAAATTCGCAAAATGGGGCAAGATCGTAGAGTTGAGAAAAAAATTCAAATCTTCTGATTCAACGTGTTAGCGCTTCGATGAATTGGTTTTTTTCGGCCGTATCAAAACCATAGAGCTCGTAAAACAATTATCGTAACGTGAAAACACTTTTTTCGCATCACAAGTCAGTTGATCTGCGACTGTCCCTACTGCCTTGTGAAGAAACAAAGAAGGAAAGACATTTGAAGATGTTGGCGCCCCCTGGAGATGTTGCTGAATTATGAAAAAAATGTTTACATCCACGGCTGCCATGTTGCTTTCAAGCGTTACCATGTGAACAAACGTATTCACTTGTTGGAAATACTGCATTAGCATTTTTTTAGATCGGCAGCATATCAGCATAGTTCTGCGCACATTCGTAACACAGCTACTGTGACAACGCGAGTTAGCCTTCCTATGGGTCCAGTATTCAGGGTCCCACTCCTAAAAATAGATGGGAATTCCTCGGTGAGGGGATGTTCTCAGCTGTCTACCAGCTTCTGATCAGGGCTACTTCAAAGATGTCATTCAGCATTTTAGATTTAGATTGTAGCTGGTAAATCTAGTCACGACTACGGTGTCGGTTTTTGGGTGAATGGATCTCCTCTCTGGGCAAACAGCAGAAATTCTTGACGAATTCCCAATCATTACGGTATCATCTCTGCATGCTCTGTTCTCTGGTTAAAACAAAATCTGTAGCCGCTTTCTCCAGAACTGGTTTATTTTCTAGTATCCAGCAGTTTCTCAACAAATGAACCATTAGCCTTTTATGTTTAAAGTCCGGTAACTGAGCTTTTTGGCTTGTTGAGTCTTCGTCCAATCATTGTGCCAGTAGTTGTTAGTGTTATTGTATAGGTCGGATTCATTCATGGACGTTCTCGGACACTTTCGTCCTTTCCCTAACGTCTGCCTGGTCCAAATAGGGCCCGTCCCTCTTGAAGTCGCTGCTGTTTGTATGCGTTGCTGTAGCATGAATCCAGTACAGTGGAGGATGAACTTAGATGTCAAATCCAAACATCTGATTGCTCCGATTGTAGCGGACATTGAAAGAGCGTCCCTTTCTCTGGCGAGCACCCGCTGGGTGAGTTCGTGGCGTTGTCTTTCTCGATGTTTGTGTCCTCAGAGCATGACAGTGGTGGTGACCTCCCTTTTGTGGTCCAACGATTGAGCGACTGATCGGACTCCAATAGTTGTCCGTTGCCCAGGAACCGTTCAGGCAGAACCGTAAAGGTTTGGGACTGTTGATGAATGAGCCAGTACATCTCAAAGCATTGCCAAACTTCTGTATTCTCCCAAAGAGCTCGCATTGTGTTTTATGTGCAGCACACGTCCTCTGTGGACGACCCGTCCTCTCTTGGTTGGCGTTTGTGTTAGAGCCAGACCCCCCCCTTCCACCCTTGGAAGTGAAATGAACAAAGAGAGACTTTGATAGATGTCCTCGTCTTGTCAGTGAGTTGGTGTGTTCAATCAAAGATCTCTTTGTGCACGCTTTATTTTTATGTTTCTTTTTTAATCACATCTGTGTTTTTTGCTAAACAAAAAAAAAAACCCTCGGATTGCTGCCTCAATATTCTGTATATAAAGAAACATGCAACATGCAGCTTAAAGACATACCCTCATAATCTGCATTATTTTCATTTACCCATTTTTATTTCATCTGTACATGAAGATATTAGTGTAATAAGCAGCATAAAGGTCTGATTCCTACCATGGTGGGGGCGGCCTGAACCCGACGGACGGAGCAGACCGTCTCCGTCAGGATCAGCCGCGACTTCTCAGCGATGCCAAATGTTAATCCGTCTCTTTCTCTTCTGGCTCCTCCCCCCCCCATCTCTTTGTACATTGTTTTCTATTTATTTAAAGCAGAAATATATGGAGTGTATCAGGCACCGAAAGGCAAACAAATGTTAGTTGATTTAAGAAAAAAAGAGAAAAATGATGGGCTTTATTTTACAGCAGTGTATTTGTTTATTTTAGGGATTTGATTCCTCTTATTTTTTTTGTTTGTTTTGGAAGAAATAAAAAGTCATTTTCCATTCCTAAATATTTGTGTGGAGCTTTTTTTTATGTGACAATTGATGTGGAAACTATAGAGTTTAATAAATTAGACCAAAATGGTTCTAAAATCTTTTTCCATTCAGCTTTACGATGGAAGGATCCTTTATATTACACAGGTATTCAGACCCACTAAATGTTTGAACATATTTCAACCACAACTTTTATTTAGGATGAATTTATATATATATAAAAAAAGACAATGACAAAACCATAAGGTAGAAGGAAAGATGGATGATTTTTAATTATTCCAAAAAGTTTATCCAAAGTTGGATTTTTGCAGAGCGCCTTAGAAGCAAGACTTGCCACAGATGGGCAAATATTGAATAAATAGACTTTATTTCAGATGCATATGTAAATAAATCTCTGTAGAATAGACCAATTCACTTCAGATAAATGCTTTTACTGTCAGTACCTGGAGAGGAATTGTGCTAAATCATGTCTTGTTAATTTCTATCCCATAAATAAAATAATAAAATGTATTCAGATCTGGACTTTGATTAGACCAAAAGTCTGCAGCCTGCCGTTCCGGATCCCCAACTCGCTCTTTAGAAGCTCAACATTGGCTCTTCACCACATGATTAAGATCCAGTTAATCATTTTCTCCACTTCCTAATTGGACGGATTTTCCCAGAACAGAATTACATATATATATATTTTTTTTGTGAGAAAAATGTTCCTATTTGACAATATTTTTCATAAATTTCAGCCACCTGTTGTAGATGCGTGTTAAAAAAAAAGGCAATGTGAAGTTTTTGGCTCTAATTAAATTTTATTGGATTAGCAGAAGTCAAATGTTTTAATTCACTAAATGAATTGACTATATCATAAAGTTTTAAGTTTCATCTTTTTAAGGGGCAATAACATCAGTAACCCATTGAAAAATGTTTTTAATCCTCTTTTCACATTTGTTTTCTCTCACATTAAAAAACAAAAAATGAAAAAGAAAAACACGGGTGTAAAAGGGACAAACCTTTGGAAGATATTTAGGGTTATTCTTTTTTATGTAAAAATGATTACTTAATATTTTGTTGCTCTAATGAG